CATTCAGGCTGCACTTCTTCCAGGACAGATTTGTTCATTTTTCTGGCAATCTATGGTGTTTTCAGTATTCCTCACCAACATCGCAACACAAATGCATCAACTTTTCTCCGGTCTTCCTTATTCATTGGCCAGCTTTCACACACATATGAGGCAACTGAAAATACCATGGTTTGGGTCAGGCACGCCTTAGTCTTCAGAGTGACATCTTTACTCTTTAACATTCTGAAGAGGTCTTTTGCAGCAGAATTGCCCAAAACAATACGATGTCTGATTTCTTGACTGCTGCTTCATGAGTGTTGATTGTGGATCCAAGGAAAATGACATCCCTGACAAGTTCAATCTTTTCTGCATTTATCATGAAGTTGCTTATTGGAGCAGTTATAAGGATTTTTGTTTTCTTTTGTATTTAGGTGTAATCCATACTGAAGACTGTATGGTCTTTGTGGTCTTTAATCTTCATCAGTAAGTACTTCAAGTCCTCTTCACTTTCAGCAAGCAAGGTTGTATCATCTGCATATCACAAGTTGTTAATGAGCATTTCTCCAATCCTGATGACTAGTTCTTCCTCAAATAGTCCAGTTTCTTGGATTATTTGCTCAGCATACACATTGAGTAAGTATGGTGAAAAAATACAACCCTGACACACACCCTTCCTGATTTTAAACTATGCAGTATCCCCTTGTTCTGTTCAAATGACAGCTTCTTGGTCTATATACAGGTTCTTCATGACCATAATTAAGTGTTCTGGAATTCCCCTTCTTTACAATGTTATCCATAATTTGTCATGATCTATATAGTCAAACCCCTTTGCATAGTCAATAAAACACAGGTAAATATCTTTCTGGTAGTCTTTGCTTTGAGCCAAAATTCATCTAACATCAGCAATGACATCCCTGGTCCAACACCCTCATTTGAATCCAGCATGAATTTCTGGTAGTTCCCCGTTAATATACTGCTGCAACCATTTTTGAATTATCCTCAGCAAAATTTTACTTGCATGTGATATTAATGATATTATTCAATACTTTCTGCATTCTGTGGGATCATCTTTCTTTGGAATGGGCATATATATGGATCTCTTCCAGTAGGTTGGCCTGGTGGCTGTCTTCCAGATTTCTTGGCATAAATGAAATACCGCCTCCAGAACTGCATCCATTTGTTGAGACATTTCAATGAGTATTTCATCAATTCTTGGAGCCTTCTTATTTTTTGCAAGTACTTCAGTGCAGTTTAGACTTTTTCTTTCAGTACCATTGGTTGTTGATCACGTGCTACCTCCTGAAATGGTTGGACATCAGCTAATTCTTTTTGGTACAGTGACCCTGGACTCAGGGATTCAAATTATCATGTTACCTACTAACTCTAGGTATATGTCCAAAAGAATGGAAAGCAGAAATACAACCAGATATTTTTACACTAATGTACTTGTTCATTGCAGCACTCTTCACAGCAAAATGATGGAAACAACAAATGTCATTCAACTGATGAATGAGTAAATAAAAGTGATACATATACACAAAGGAATATTATACAGCCATAAAGAAAATAAAGTTACACGTTATATGTTACATGTTAAAGTTACATGTTAAAGTTCATGGAATGAATCTTTAAAACATTATACTGAGTGAAATAAGTCAGTCACAAAAGGATAAATATTATATGATCCCACTTATATGAAATATTGAGAGCAGGCAAGTATACAGAGACCAACGATTATTCCCAGGGGCAGGTACATGGAAAGGGAAAAGGAGAATTCAATGCTTAAGGGACACTGAGCTCTGTTAAAGGAGGAAGGAAAATTTGAAAATGGATAATATTAATGGTTGAACAACATGATAAAAATAATTATTGTCACTGAATTCTACATGTGCAGAATGTTTCAATTTCAACTGGTCATTAAATACATATTTACTACCATTATAAAAATGGATACTAAGAGGTATTATCAAACTATCCCAATGAAAAACAGATGATAGTGTTTCTGACTTATAAAAGTTATATTATTTCCATCATGGTACTATGATGTATGCTGTAATTAGAAACTTGTCCGCACAATGGCACAGTGAGAGTAAACAGCTCTATAGATACACACTATAGTGTAATTATAACAAATTGTGTAAAGTAGGGTTACATTGTGCCTGTAAATAGAAACACAAATTCTAATAATATAAATACAAATAATATAACAATAAATATTTTACATTATAAAAATAATATAAAATAAACTCCATAATCTGACGGGGAAATTGAAAAAGAATATACTGCTATCTTTAATCCACCACAGTTATGAATCAGCAAATGCTTCCAGGGCAGAAGCAACAACATCTAATCACCTCACCCCTCCAGAACTCTACCTTTCTATGACTCCAAGGCCCCCTCAATCTCATTGTTCAGAAGCAACCACATACCTCTAAGATGATGATTTTGGTGTTGTATCTGGCTTTTCTAGTTGATCTTGGAATGACTATTCAAAAGAAACAGCTATCAGTTATCTCAAAAGATTATATTGTTACATTTTATGTTGCTGGGATTTTTTTAACAGTTCTATTAATCATCATTTTAATTATTCAAATTGGAAGGGTAAAATAATATTATATTGTCATTTTCTCCAAATCATTTATTATGTAAGTAGCATTAACTAGACTAATGTGAAGAGAAAGTAACTTTATGCTTCCTATAAATCAATGTTTTTATCCTCTTGAAAAAAGAAGACACATTGACAGAGGTCTAACCACTTGACTGCTAACCAGAAGGCTGGTGGTTCAAACTCACCAGCCACTCCTTGAAGGAAGGTTGGGCAAACTACTTCCCTAATGATGTTGTTGTTGTTGTTATGTGCCGTCGAGTCGAACCCGACTCACAGCGACCCCTCCTTGGGTTGCAGAGGCAGTATCACTACAGAACTAGATTGCCCAACCTTCCTTCCAAGGAGTGGCTGGTGGGTTTGAACTGCCAGTCTTCTGGTTAGCAGTCAAGTGCCTTAGGCACTGCGCTACC